ACGTTGTGCCACTGCACTCCAGCCTGGGTGATAGAGCGAGACTCCATTTCAAAAACAAAGAAACCAACAAAAATCCTCTATAAAATGACTTCTCTATGGTCCATGCCAGCACTTGCCACAGAATCTATTCAACTTCACACAAAGGCAATAGCTCAAACTCAGGCCAACCACCGAAGAGACACAGCTCTGCCTCTCTGGCCCCTCCCCCCATTACAGCCCAACCTCAGTGAGCCGGGCAGAGAGAATGAGCAGAAAACCATAGGTTCAGTGGTGGCTTCAGGCTCAAGAAATGTGTATAATTACTATCCCATTCATTCATTCCCATAAAGCTGGAGTCTAGATTCATTTCTTCACATTTTCCCATAAGAGAAAAACTTCCCAGAAATTTTACTCCAAAGCAAAGACTTTCAGCCTGGGTTGTTAGAATCACAGCCAAGGATTTTGGGTGTCCACGACACAAAGTTCTTTTCTTTTTCTTTCGTTTTGCTTCATTTCCCTTTCTCTCTCTCTCTCTCTCTCTCTCTCTCTCTCTCTCTCTCTCTGGATCATGAGTGAGGGGGAAGCACCAGATCCGAAGGTTTATTTACCATTCCTCAGCCTGACCTTCCTTCCAGGAAGAATGTCACTAATGAGAAACAATCTTCTTGGGTTCCCAAACCCAGAATTTATATGAATCAATTTAGGATCTCAATATCTAAACACGACAAAGGTAATACCAACTGTCTTTCCTTTGGAGGAAAAAAAAAAAAGCAACTGAGTTTTTCCTGTTGGAAGGATGTTGTGTGTATGTCAAGCAAATCTCAGATCTGAGGTTACCTCTTTCTCCTTGTCCCAATCCCTTCCGGAGATCCACTGGGAGAGAAAGGGTGCTGGGTCCTTCCTGTGGTGCAGGCTGAGGGAAGTAGGGAATGAAAGGGAACGTGGCGCTGGAGCTAATGTTCCCTAAGTGAAAAGCTGACCTTACAGTTGAGGCCCAGAGCCAGGAACTCTTCTCCCAAGACCAGATTCCACTCTAATTCACATCCAAATGATGATTTTCTTCAATGTGGATGAGACACTTCCATTCCAGCAAAGTAGAAGCACTATGAAGGCAGGGATCACATGTCGTATGTGCCACTGAATCCTGATTCCCGTAAATGAGGATCACGTGGTAGGTTCCCCTATTAAATGAATGAATTAAACATTCAGCCAGTGTAAAACAGCTAGTAAGTATCATTACCATTTAAAAGGTAGCTCTTCTCAGCAGATAGAGAGGGGTTTTGTTCAGTTTTTTCATTACAGGACCTAGAATTATCTGGATCTTGTCATCCACTCATCTCTTACTCTGTGAACAATTTTTCAATGACAAATGCTTTTATGTTTCAATTGGTTATTAAACAGCACGAATGGTGAACTCATGAATTCTCTTAAAATTCTGCCCCGCATCTGGCTGTGTTGGTCGTAAACCTCTCAAGTGTTAAGCACTGTTTCATTTGGTCTCAGCTTAGCAGAAAACGCCCTCCACCTACCGTGCCAGCGGCTGCAGCTAGGCACACAAGTCTCAATGGATGCCACTTGCTGATCATGAAGGCAGCAGAGCAGTGTCCCCAGTCCACTCGGGCCTCAGCCTTCTGTTCCAGAAGGATCCCAGCCTTCCCATTAGGAAAATGAGGGTGCGCAGTGAATGATTTCAGCTTCATTAGCTGAAGAAGGACTGAGGAGTCATGTGGAGTTGGGGACCACGAATCTGAGTGTAAATTCTGGTTCTGCCACTACTGGCTCTGTCTACCTGAACAAATGGCTCCCTCTTGGCCTCAGGCTCTTTCTCTAGAAAACAGGGTACCTATTTCATGGAGTCGTGAGGATTAAATAAACCAACCTTAGCCGGGCATGGTAGCGCATGCCTCTAATCCCAGCTATTCGGGAGGCTGGGGCAGGAGAATTGCTTGAACCTGGGAGGTTGCAGTGAGCTGAGATTATGGCCACTGTGCTGTGGAGGTCAGGACAAGCCAACTTGCCCTGGGCAAGTTGGGCAACAGAGTGAGACTCCATCTAAAAAACAAAAATTAATAAACCAATGTATATAGAAGACATGAGCTAGCACGCAGCACACTGTAGGTATATATCAGTGTCAGCTGTTGTTTTTATCTGTAATATGAGGGCCTTTGTGGTACTCCATGATCTCCCAGCCTTCCGAAGAAGAACAATGTATTAACTCTGAGATTGCTGTTTTTGCAGTTTCTATGCACCCATTCCATCAAACTCTTTCCAGACCACA